TTGGAGGTCGTGGAACTCCGAAGACTGCTTGAAGTGCTCCACGGCCTGGCTTCGTGCCTCTTCCACAACAGCCTCGATGATCCGAGTTCGCTCTTGAACCATCGCCTGGAGATCTTCAACTTCTCGTCGAAGCGCCGAATTCTCCCCAGTCAAAATAGGGATTTGCTCCTACTGTCTCCTCTACTCCTCGGTCAGCGTGGAGATCTGCTCCTGATGCTTCTCTTTTTCCTCAGTCAGAGACGGAATTAGCTCCTTCTGACCTTGAGCCGCCTTCTTAGCCCGGAGCACCTCGTCCCGAGCTCTATCAAGCTCGCGGTGCAGTTTTTGCACCTCCTCCTTGGCTTTCTGAAACTCCTGCAAACGGATTTGCGAGTAGCACATCAGCGCGTGAATGGAGGAGTTCACCCGGAAAAGAAAAATCACACAGAAACAAAATTATAAGGTAAAAGCACCTACCGCCATGCAGAGACCGGCAGCTCGACCCCCAAGCCGATGCGTAGGCATCTCGGCCCACTCCGAGACCTCCTCGAAAAAGAGGGCCTCCTCGCTCTTGCAAATCCCAAACTTGTAAGTAAAATGCTCCTCTTCGGAGGCTCGCCTCGGGGTCTAGAAGTGCTCGCCGACTCGGGGAACTGAGCAGCTTCCGGTTCAGGTGTTGGGGTTCTCCCTAGTTCCTCCTGCCGAGCACTCCCCTCTTCTTCTTCCAAATTCACCACAGGAGGGGGACAAACTTCCTCCTGAGGAAGCTCGGTGGAGATCGGCTCTGCGGTATGGACCTCGGGTGGGGCAAGGGTTGAAGGGCTAACCTCCCCGTGAGGCTTCTTCACTTTCCTCTTCTTCCCCTTCTGCACACTGTTGACAAGGTTCCTGGCATCGACCTCCGGCATGATGGCTGCAAAAAATAGAAGGTCAGCCACGAACTAATCAGAGCCTTAATAAGTAAAAAACCAAAAGCAACCTACCAGGACTCAAGCCGGCATGCACGAGCTTATCTTCGGCAAGGTAGTCACTACAGAGAAAACCGAGCTCCGCCCAAGAATGAAGCGTCTCCCTCGTCTTCAGGTCCAGCCTAACACTAGAATCCTGAATGGCATCTCTCCAATGAGTAGGGAACGGCCACCCCTCGGGATTACAGACCACGAAGTAGTTTCGTTTCCAGGCCGGGATCCTATTGGGCAGTCTGTGCAAAAGCTTATAGCCCGGGCGGGGAGACAGATAGTAAGTCTGCCTATGCTCAAGGAGGACACAAGAAGAGTTCTTCTTGATAGACAAGATGGAAGAAAAAATGACAAGGTCAAGGGGAAGACAGTACTCGTAAAAAAGGGAAATGGTGGTCCCTACTACGTTTCAGATTGAGTTCGGGTGTAACTGGTCTATGGTGATGTTAAAGAACTTCTGGACCTCTATAATCAGGGGGTGCAAAGGCAAACAGAGACCAGCCACGAGCTGTTCTTCAAAAATTATGATCTCGTTATGATCGTGTTCCCAAGGGAAGTTGCCAGCGGGGAGACTATAGGAGAGCTCACCCGGGAGGTTGTACCGGTGAACTAAGGCCCGAAGCCTGTCCACAGTCATAATAGAGGGGCCGAAGTGATCCGGCACCCGAGCTTGGGAAGAAGTGGATGCCAGGTTGCCCGAAGCCTCCCACGCATCCCGGGGTGACTACGCCTCGGGGAGGTCCCGGACTGCCCCTAGACTCGAAACATCCTCGTCTCGGCTGTCTACCTGGGTCGAGGTACCCTCCTCGGCCTCATCTAAGAGGCTATCAAAGCTAAAAGAAGACATTGACAACCAAACTAAAAAAAAGGAAAAAGCTAAATTGAACTGAAAAGAAGGTAAGAAAGACTCACCAAAGAAGGGCGACCAAACTGGAAGGAAGTGACGAACTAGAAAACCCGAGCTAAAGAAGCTAAGCGCAACCTCAGATCGAAGGCTAGTAAGCTTGTGGCGAAGAAAATGAGCCTCGGGTCCCGCTATTTATAGCCACTGTACCAGAGAAGCAATGGTCGAGATCAAAGCAATCCAACAGCTCCTAAGAAAACCGGTTGCACGACCCTCGAGGTCGAAAACAGTTTAGCGCATTTTTTGGCATCCACGGAGTTTATAGATCTAATGACGTTCGTGTGTGAACCGCACACAACCTATCTGACAGAGTAGCCAGACTTTGAGCCAAATCCACTTGTCACATCGTGAACTCCTCAAACTAGGTCAAGACCCCTAGCTCGAGGAGTGGGGGGCAATTGATGAAGGGGAATTTGGCCCGACCTCGTGACAGGGAGACATGTGGACATGACTCGGCATAAGCGACAACTCGACATGATTAGATTTGCACGTGGACGTGACTTGGCGCCAGTGACTGCTCAGCATGATCAACTCGCTACAAAGTGACCTTGGGTACCCTGATACCTCGAACTAAGGATACCCAGAACTAAGGGTATCCCGAACTAAGATCGTCTTAGTACCAAATCGCAACTAGGATAACAGAACCAAGTTCACTACCGACCGATCGGGCCCGGACAAATGAACCACCTTGGTCAAGACTACTTCGGGACAAGTGCACCTCGGCACAAGCTCGCTACCAATCAACTCGCCATCAGGCAGCCCGGTACCCCACAGGCAGCTCGCCTACCGTTCAGACCACTACATGGCAACCCTGAGGACCTCACCACCGCGTTCTGCGTATTGCGGGATCATACCTCGCAACGGCTATATTAGCTCACCCACTCCCTGGTTCAGACGGGAAGGGGCAATCTAACCAGTTGATGGCATTTTACCCACCTAACACGCAAGTGGATCCCATCACAGCGAGGATCCAGGAACCGTTCCACCAACCCATAGGGACTCCAGTATATAAAGACTTCACCCCCCCAGGGGCGAAGGTATGTTCTTTTATTGTTGTGCGTGCAATCTTTGCTCTCTAGCTCCCTAACTCATTGTTATCATCTTCAAGCTCTCTACTACCACTGTGCTCTAACTTAGCCATCGGAGTGTCCCCGCCGGGTGAGTCACCCCGGGATCTCTAACTCCTCTCTTGCAGACTACTCAGTTCATGTCGTTGCTGGCAATCAGATCATCTCTAGCAGGAAGCAATTGGATTACGCCACATCACTTTAGATTGATACCAAACCCCACCTGCATCAATCTCCATATTTTTTATAATATATATATATATTGAAAATAGTTGAAAAGATATTTATATTTTTTAAAAATTATTATATCTTATTTTTATTTTAATAATTTATTAGGTTTTTTACACAAAAATTAATGAAATTTGATAGATTGACAAAATCAGATATGTTTAGAAGGAAATTGCAAAAACAATGAAAAGGGCAAAAGATAACTTCTATAGACCAATTTGCCCTTTTCTTTAATTCCGCAATTGGAAATTTGAAATGCACCTATTCGCCCTCTCCTTCGAAAGCGGCAGCAAATCAAGATATCTTTCTCAATTCTCTCTCCTCTCATCGTCTTTTCTCATTCCCCATTTCATAAAATATTATTTTCTTATCTTTTCCCTCTTCCCCTGATGTTGGCTTTCCACTAACACTACTTCAAATCTTCAATAATGGGGGCAATGAAAATCAGGAATTTTCTTCCTGCCCAATCAAGAGGAAAAAACGCTTCTCCAACAAGTGACTTTCTTAAACCCAGTAGCCTAGAGAATTTTTTTTCTTATATGGCAAAACCCATGAGAGAATCAAATTCCAATTTTTCCAATTTAGTTTCAAAGGGTTTTTGTCTTTGTAAAACTCTTATGAATCTTAAAAAGTAAGGAATTATTTATTGAGAGGAAATTAAATTGTAAAATTGGGTTAGTTTTGTACTAATAAATTTATCTTCTTACCAAACAAACTTTTAGCTATAATAGATGCAAACATGAATTTCAATAAAGCATATGTTTTTTTTTATCAAAAATCCACTTGAATGCAAATTTACTTCTTTTTTATTTATGTACTTTTACATCTTATTATCAATGTAAATATGCATTACTCTGTCATTTATCAATGCATAAATGTAATATTATCAAATACAGGCAAAAGTCAATCAGAGTGCAAATTTACCCTAAACCAAGATTTACATTCCATTTGCCTAAAGAACAAAAATGACTCTATTTTCCTTTCAGTTGGTAGGAAGAACAATCGTTTCAATCCTGTTTTTTCTTTCTTTCTGTTATTTTTATTTTTATTTCAAGGTGACTTTTCATTGATGGAAGGCCTAACCTCTACATCTATTTCCTCGCACATGCCTCATCTTTTCATTCGAACTGTAAATGGTTTGAATCATGGTTTTTAAAATTGACCCGGAGACCGAACCGATCAGGGGTCCTATTACTGGGTCCGACCATTTTAGCAAAAAAAATTAAAATTTTAGAAAAATAAAAAAATGAAAACCGGTCGAACGGTTAACCGCCCGGATCAGCATTTTACTGACCCAAATAAATGGTTTTTATGGAAAATCCAGTTTTGGGGAAAACCGGAACCGGTCACCTGACCGATTCCCAGTTTTTCCGGCCTGATCCGGTTTTAAAAACCATGATTTGAGTAATGGAGACGATTAACAGTGGCGTTCAGAGAGGAGGGAGACCATAAACAGTGACAGGAGAGTTCGGATTTTGGAATTTAAGAAAGGATAATTTGGTCCTAAAACATTAATATTTTGTCCCCGTCACTATTTTTACCGTTTGCTTTTAAACCTTTCTGATTTTGTCAATTCATAAATCTTCTTAATTTTTTTTGCAAAATGCCCTAATTTATTAATTTTTTAAAAATTTAAATTAGATCAGATCCAAACAGGAACGCTGATTCGAACTCGATCCGATCCGTTTGCATCCCTATCCATACAGGATAATAGCAATACAGACCGAGGTTGTAATATACACGATAATACAGACCAAGGTTGTAATTTGCAAAGAATAATAAGAGCTATAATTGTAAATATCTGCAAATATAGGAGGGCTGAATAATTTTTAATATTTTCTTTTAAGTTTTAACCATTTTTACTTCTCTTTACTTGCCTTTCACCTCATTCCCTGGCCTTTAGTAACCTTATCCTGGTCAGGCCTTTTTTACCGTAACCGCCTACCGGTGACCGGAGAATGAAACACGCTGATTTTCCCGACAACATATCACCGTTTCCCCATGCCGGAGACCTACTGTATTGTCACCGGACCGCCCTCACTTATTCCAATGGGACCGAATTTCGACCGCCGTTGCCTCTCCAGAAGCTCCGCCCCATCAGAGGCAACAGGGGAGAGCCGGTTGAGTATTCAGAATGTCCAGCGAATTTCCACGAAGTTGAGTTTCCGGAAAAGGCTGCACCGGAAAACCTACTGAACTGTCAGGAGTCGGTTGTTGCCCTTCCACCAGAAATCGAGTTTCAGCCTCCAGTAATGCTACAAACGCTCCCTCCAATTAGAACAGGTGGGGATCCGACCGAGTGTTGTGATTCTCCGGCGAACGTCAGTGAAGTAGAGCTGCCGGAGGAAGAAGGCGATACTGGAAACGGGTGGTCGCAGGAGGATACTCTTGCGCTGCTGAAAATCCGGTCGGAAATGGATGCCGAGTTTAGGGATACAAACCCTAGTGGACCTCTGTGGGAGATCGTGTCCAGGTACCCTTTTCTCTGTTTTTTTCCCAGTAAACCCCAGTAAGCTTCAACATATACAAATATTTCTCTTTATACTGCAAAACACCATTTGTTTTATTTGGTTTTCCCTTTTTTATTTTTTGCTGTAAAAGCATTAAAGGTAAATCATTTATGGGGAATGCTGAAACTTAACTTGAGAGACAGTTGCTATCTACAGTTCTACACTACCGTCGAGTGGACGGGAATGATTATCGGAGATGATATCTAGTCTAACCTCTAGGTGTTTCCCCCGCAGGGTTTAAGGATTCCAAGGAAACCGAACCCTTAATCCTTCTTCACTGGAAGTCTTCAAGGATTTTTCCTCTCGTTTGTGTTAATATCTTTGATGGCTTTTGCAAGGTGGATGTTTGATAGTATTTAGGAACTTCTGCATAATGTGGATAGTTGTGTTCCAGACGCCCAGACCATGGGAAGTGTTCAAGGGCTTCTTTTAGATACTTGATGCTCTCTTCTATTCTTACTCCTTGTGCTCTAAGAATTCTTTTATACCTCTGAGTAATAATGGTAGTTATTGATAATACTAAATATATTTCCAGCTGTTGTTGCATCTGCTACATTGTTATAGTTAATCTCTTTTCACTTTTCAGATTTTTTTGCATGCTTTTTCGTATTGGTTTTGTTTCCTTGCAAGAAATAGTTTTTAAGTTCATATCCTGTATGGATTCCACTTGAAATGGAATAATTCCTTGGTGTTTTTCTTTTACATTTTAGAGCACAAATTGACTATCTAAAGTAGACCTACTCTCAGCTGTCAAGAAAAGTATTTTGAAGAGTTGGTTCCATATTTTCATGGGAATGAATTCATTTTTTCTTACCATCCTGAACTAAATCCATCTTAGGTGACTGTAGTATGGGTTCAAATGATATGCAAAACTACAAGAAAAGAAAATCCAATTTGTGTGGCTAACAAACAGGCTATTATTGTGCTACTTTCTTCTTCCTTTTTTTGTTGGTTCTTTTTTGGGTAAGATTGTAGGACTCAAGTTTAAGTACAGGTTCAAACCCAGTCCATAACATCCATTGATCCATATGCCCCACCTTGTTAGGTTTTTAATATAAAATGTACATATAAAAAGTGAGCTCATTTTGCAACACTTGGCAAGGTGTTCTGAGTGGAAAATTTTTCCATGAGTGCAGCATTCGGAGAGAAACTTAGAGCTGCAAACTTTGCCATCTATAAGATTCCTTAGTCATTTAGGGAAGCTCACTAAATGGCTCAATTTTTCAGAATTAGGAAGTAATTGAAACTGCAATTTGTACCCATTGGATTTTGCATTTTAGAGGAATTTCAAATGATGCCAAGGGTGATCATTTCATTTCTATGGAATTGAGGTGGGAATGGAATTGAAATATATCACTCCCACAATCAAATGCTATCTTTTATTCCTCCCACATTGTTAATGATGGTGATCAGAAATGCCCCACTCGTTAATTAAAATAGGTATTCCACTATTTTAGTCCACATTCAAAATATAATCCTACTTTCCTTTCTCCCTACCGTCAAAGTAACTTAAGTATTTTTTCCCCCCAAAAGTTATATCTTCTGCATGAGCTGTTCCTGATTATGCTGTTATTATTCAGAATGTAAGTGTCTGACATAATGTTTTGCTTATGGAAGTTGACATATTTTGTGCTTTCTGGTGGATCAACTCATCAATCTCACTGTCTACTAAAGTTCATTTCTTGACTTGACTGTAGCACAAAAGCTGAACTATGATCAATCCAATAGGTCTGCCATTAGTTGGACATTTCAGATGATGAGAGAGACTGCCTTTTTTGTATGCAAAATTGGTTTATGAATTCTGACATCCCAATTGTCCTTTATTTCAATTTATTCTTTCTTGATTTTATTTCAAAAAATAATCCTATTTTTTCTTTCACCCCATCTTCAAAGCAACTTAAATCTTGTTCCCCCCAAAAGCTACATCTTCTGCAAGAGATGTTCCTGGTTATGCTGTTATTATTCAGCATGTAAGTGTCTGACATAATGTTTTGCTTATGGAAGTTGACATATTTTGTGTTTGTCTGATGGGTCGGCTCATCAATCTCACTATCTACTAAAGTTCATTTCTTGACTTGGCCGTAGCACAAAAGCTGAACTATGATCAATCCAATAGGTCTACCATTAGTTGGACATTTCAGATGCTGACAGAGAATGCTTTTTTTATATAAAATTAGTTTATGGCATCCCAATTTTCCTTTATTTCAATTATATATTGTTTATATTTATTCTTTCTTGCTTTTTTTTTCATTACTGCTGTTTGGTTGATCAGGAAACTTGAAGGACTGGGTTACCACAAAAACCCAAAAAATTGCAAAGAGAAATTCAAGAACATTTACAAGTCATACAAGAGATCTAAACAAAAGCAAGTGAGCAACCAAGGTGATAAAATGTACAAGTTTGTTGATGAACTCGAAGCTTTATGTAGTCAAAATAACAATAATCCAACTGCAGAAACCCTGAAATTGGATGATGCTAGAATCCAAACCCCAGACCCTGTTCAGAACTCACATCAAATTATCAATGTGGGGACCAACTCAATTGATTTCTGGTCCGATTTCAGTTCTTCTGATGAAGATAATAATGATGACTCTATGTCAGAGGACATCATAGAACCCATGAATTGGAAAAGGAAGAGAAAAACAAGGATGAAGCTTGAGGTTTTCTTTGAAAATTTAATGCATAAGGTAATCAAGAAGCAAGAGGAGATGCATAGACAGTTGATGGAGATAATAGAGAAGAGGGAGAGGGATAGGATTATCAGAGAAGAAGAATGGAAGCAGCAAGAGATGGAGAGGGTCAAAAGAGATAAGGAGATGAGAGCCCAAGAGGCTTCTCGCAGCTTAGCCATTATTTCCTTCATAGAGAAGGCTATGGGACAGCAGTTCTACATTCCACCGTCCCCAGAATACTTGTATCCAGGAGAAGAACAAGATGAGAAGCATGATAAGACAGATCATAGTTTTGACCCTAATAACAGGAGATGGCCAAAGTCTGAGGTACAAGCCCTCATCACGCTTCGAACCTCAATGGATCGTCAATTTCGAAGTACTGGCCCAAAAGTTCCTATGTGGGAAGAGATATCTCTTGCAATGTCTTCCATGGGCTATAGCCGCAGTGCTAAGAAGTGTAAAGAGAAATGGGAGAATATCAACAAGTACTTCAAGAGATCAATAGAAAGTGGCAAGAAGCGCCCTGAAAATGCAAAGACATGCCCATATTTTCATGAATTGGCTATCCTGTACAAAAATGGATTCATCAATTCTGGAAACGCCTCTAATAATGCAATTAAAGAAGATGAAGACAGGAGCACAACTGAAGAAATACTGGCAACTTAGGTATCAGTTTCTATTTCAATGCCATAGACATTGAACAAGGTCATGAAAGCTCAGTCTGATATTCCCCAATTTATTTAGTGGTTTTCCCTGGTGCTTTGGTATTCTTTTCTTCAGTCTGTTTGATCTTGTTTACTTGGGCATAAAGAGATGATATAATTCTGTTCTTTGTGTATGCTTACAATGGATTGGACATTGAAAACAGTACAAATAACTTGCATTTTTTATGAAATAATACAGAATGTCTACTCTTCAACAAAGGATGTGAACATGCTTGTCTGTGGGAGGTTTTGAAAATACAGTGAATCCTAATGATTAAGAAAAAGAATGCAATTAATATTAACATTATGAAATGAAAGAGGTATGACCTACAGGTCCTTCGTCCTCTTTTAAAAGTTGAAATAAGGCTTAGAACTCGTTTGGGAGGGCTACGTGATTGAATTAATATCGACTCAGCCATATCAAGAAGCTACTAAAACTAGCTTTACTAGAAAGTTAATTTATTAATTGAATGAAATTATATACCGGCTTTCCAGGTTTTTCACCAAACATGGCTTCTAGGCTTTTTGTGTAGGGCTTACCTTACAACACCGTAAAATAGTAAATAGCCATTTGCTGGTTCTCACTGCCACACGAACAATAAAAGATAGATCACAAGTGAGTTGGGAGAGAGAGAGATGAGCGAAAAACAAGCATTAAATAGATCATAAACAATGCCATACAGACCATCTTTTGAGAGAGGTTTGGCTTGTATACAGATGAGAGAGGCCATCTATACTGCATATTTTAGGAAGATTGTGTTGATTGATAAAAGGAAAGGGGGTCTTGTGGCGCAAAGAGGTTGAATTTGTGAATTTTGTAATCAACGTCAACCAGTTGGGCTATTCACTTGAGATTGGCCTCCATTTCTGATTTTCTATACTACGGCCCACTTCCAGTTGATGGGTTTTCGGACTAAAAAGAGTGTTTTTGTTTGATAGAAAATAGGGAAAATCTATGACACCATGAAAACATGATACCGAAAAAGATCAAGACCCCCTGTGAATTTTGATGAAAATCCTACCGATTGGTTATCACCTCTATTATGCCAGTTATAAGTCTTTTGATATGTGCCTTAAGAGAATTTGCCCCTAAAAGCTTTGCTGTTAGAGGAAAGGAAACTCAAGCACATACATACCCTACAGGCTACAACAGCATCCCATACTACTGATGTGGGATATTTCACATTAGCATTCCATACTATCAATGTCGGACAAATAGACCGTACCACCTTTCCAATGTCATGTCTTTCCGGCATCATATTGGAACCTTAGAAAGAATTGGATGTAAGAACTTTACTCAATTTCCTGTCTCTTTTGTTTTCTATCAAATCAAACACAACCTTATTGCCTAGAAGGCAAAAAAATCTTCTTATTAAAGGGACAGACCCCAATAACGAGACAGCAAGCACATGTTTATTAGGACAAAAATACCTCATTTTTTACTTTTTAATCAATACCTTAGAATTTCCACTAAGGTTGTGCCCATGTGAAAAATGGGATGTGGCCAAATGAGATCCTAAAAATTTGAACTTGTCTACGTGGACTACTGCATGTGCCTGCAGCTATTTTAGACTTATAATGGTAACTTACATGGGATGTTTGGGACATATGGACCATCTAAAAAGTAAGGAGCCAAGTTATGAAACTGTTTACATGATTCTTTCATTCTAACTTTTTTATACGGAAAAAGAGGATATTATATGTTGTAAAAAACAAATGGTTATTTGACAAAACGATTTCTATTTTCATATCCAATCTTTCTTAATTTTTCTCATTTGTTTTAACTTGCGAGCATTTGATATAAAAATATTAAAAGTTCCCGAAACAACAAATACAATAACTTCTGTAATTATTGATACAACAATATATAACCTGTCATAACTCACAAGAATTTCCTATTGGTAGAAAACCCTTATAGAAGTTTCAAAGATAAAGATTGTGATAAAAATGTTTATAAGGTAAAATCAAACTGCCGTGGAATATATTAAAAAGTAATTTATTAAAACACCCCATATAGTTTCTGGATTTATTAAAATCTGTCCTATTATTTGTATTTTACTAAATAGGTGTTTGGCATTAATCTTGTTGCTTCAGATATATTTTCTGAGAAAATGGTGTTGTATGCATGAGGGTTTGTTGCACCATTTTTCTCAGAAAACAGTTCCTTTTGTTTTTTGTTTGGCATCAGTGCTGCCACATAGGCTGTTTTCTAAGAAAACAGCACTGGTTTTGTTTGGTACCAGTGTTGTATAACCATTTTCAGCATTGGTCTACATTATCCAATGCCTAAGATGATGCCACGTCATTACACTGCTAGCAGCAACAGGCTGTTTTCTGAGAAAACATTGAATTTGGCATTTCTTCAAATCACACCCGATTTCCAAGGCATGGTCTGGGGCAACATTTTTTCTGGAAGAACAATGCCAAATAAGAGCTGTTTTCTAAAGCACCACTTTTTTCTGATATGGCACTGATGTGGCGTCATTTTTTTAGAAAATGACATCGATGCCAAACACCACCTAAATCATTCCCTATAGTTTGTAACCAAATTACCTGATCAACCTTCCATTAGATGGAAGTGAAAGCTGATAATTTTGATCTTAACATCCCCTCAAACAAATTTAATCTACATAAAATAAAAATGAAAATGTCATTCTTGTACCTAGTAAAACACAAGCAACAATTCTTTTTGGTAAAATTTGTTGTCTATTTGAAGAAGGAAAACATGCCATTGCTGATGAAGAACGCCTAGATGCCATTTGTCATCTCTTCTTCATTCGATTGAAATCAAACATTTTTTGATAATCTGAAAATCAAACCTTGTTTATTCTAAGAGCATGATATGAAGTTTTAGAGGTACTTTTAGAATAAAAAAACAAGGGGCGCATGCCCTTAAACATTTTCCACTTTGTTTATATGGTCACAGTTACCATTTTTAGACAGAAATACAAAGGATCCTTAATAAAAAGTCAGTTAAGTAAATTAGTTGCAAATCATAAAGGGTATTGATGATGCACAATCCGGCCGATCTTAGCTGTCAACGATCTTGCCTCTGAACCGGGTGGCAGGGACCTAAAACGAAGGGAGAAGAGAAGCTCCAGGGAGAACTCGGTGTAAGGGCTCCGAAGCTCAAGTTAGAGTCTTTCAAAGGCAAGATAGACCAGATAGCGCAAAAGTTAGCATACCTCGTTTCTGGGGGGTAGGAGCCTTTTATAACCACCTCGTGCACTCACTTCTAGGCTTCCGTCAGATCGGGCATGATTACTACTGAAC